TTGATGTATCATCGTTGTAATTGCATATAAAACACTGTTTCAAATCCTAATAAAAGCTTTCAGGCCAAAGAGGTCTCTTTAACAAAAAAATAAAAAAAAAAAATTATAAATTATACCCTAAAGCAGACATGTAACTCTAAAAAATATTTTGCCTTAATCTGCTACATTTATTAATCAATCGAAACAATAACATTAAGGTACTTTTAGGATCCAGGCAGCGATAGACTATCGGAAGTTAATATTAATGATCAAAAAAATGAAAACGATACATTAAATTTGAAAGAAGACCAACGGGCTAAAGGTAGTCATATGAATGATTATTTTAAAATCTCGAAAAAAAAGAAGAAAAATAAAGTAAGAGTTTCAAAAAGTTGCTATTGAAAAATAATGCTTTAATAGATGTTTATTTTTTTATTTTTTTTTATTTTTATTACGAAATTGATGATTAATAAAGGATGCTTCGAAATATCCACATGTTAGTGTGAATCCAAGATTTTCAATAATATTAATTATAGGCGTAATTAATTATTAACAAATCACCGAAATCACAGCAAAAAGAAATGATAGTAATGACTTTGAAAATAACGAGGAAATAAATGAACTATTACCTGATTCGCAAGCTGCTAGCACCGATGATCAATTTTCAATTGGCAATATGAACCAGCCTGATAATGAACACATTAATGACAATCGAGTAAGAAAAAAAACCATAAGGGATTTAAAAGTTTTCTATAATTAAGTTAAAAATTTAATTTATCATTAACAAATCACAAATTTTAGCAAACTGAAAATATCAGAGAGACAGAAGAATCTATATCCAATGTTGACATCAAAAAATTTGTAGAAAGACTTAGATGTAAGTGATGACGATTCACCAGGATGGTCAGAATGTGAAGATTGCTATGGAAATAAAAAGGAAATGTATGCTCATGGAAAGGCGACAAAGGTCACATTCTCTTGTGTGATGGACCTTGTGGCAAAAATTTTCATACTAGTTGTTTAAATCCTCCGCTCCCAAGAATTCTCTTCGGAAATTGGTACTGTAAGAAGTGTGAAAGTGGGAATTCAAAGAGATCGAAACGTAAAATACAAATTGATTATTCAAGTTCAGATAAAATTGATAATCAAAGTGCAAAAAAAGACAAAAGATTGAAATCAAAAAGTGTTAAAAAATATAAGGCACAGCAGGATATAATGATTCACCTGACTTACCTGACTTAGAGTTGCTAAAAAAATTAAACAAAAAAATGAAATAGATAAATTTGGTCAATTCAAATTTAATTATTCTTTTATCTGTTTATATCATTATTATTTCAATTCTTTCAATTAAGATGAATCTTGATTATCCTGATACCAACAATCAAACTTTAAAATTAATCGTCTTTCTGATTGGTTTATTATGGGTTTTCTATATTTTCGCTTTACTTTATCTGCTTTTTAGTAACAAAAAAATACTGAATAAGAAAGGACTATAAAAAAATATTACCTGTTTTTTTTATTGTATAATAAAATAAATTTGTAGTTTTTAGATTAATTTATAGATTAATTTATTAGGTTTAAATTTATATTTTCTTTTCACTGTTAAAAATATACCTGAATAATTTATTCAAAATAGATGTGACAAAATATCAACAGACAAACCTTTTATCAACATTGGTACGTACTATTGGAATAGCCTGTCAACTAAGTAGATGTGGTCCCTAGTAATTTAGCTTATTAAATTTTTTTGTTCAGCTTGATTAATCAGCGACATTTTTTCTATATAAAAAAAATATAAAATCGGTATTCTGTAACTTTTTTTCGATTTTCAGGTTGTAATTTTCTTTTTTTACAAACCTGAATTTTTTTACTTTATTTATACTATTCGCTCAGACATTTTGGATAAATTAAGCTAGCTGGTAATTTTTTTTAAATTAAAGCTAAATTTTGGTACTATAATTTGCTTGTATAGGCCTTCTATAGACTCATTGCAATATTGTACAATCAATATGACATTGCGAAATTATAATAATACAACATTTTATGAATTAATCTTGCTATGCTATATTAATTGCTTTAATTTAAGCATGTTTTCTTTTTTTAATACTTTATGTAAAATTCTTTCTTTTACTGTATATAGTGAATTACGTTGTTGATACAGTAATTAATACGAGCTGATGGGTGTACATATATATAATGACATTTGTCGCAGATGATCGTGAAATCGGATGATGGTGAAATTTGGGGTCTCCTTTTGAAAATATAAACCCTACTGAAATCTACTTATACTCTTTTCTAAGCAACTCTAATCCTAAATTCTAACCTACACTAAAAAAAATCTAGGATAATACACTCTAAAAAATTCTAAAATTTCATATTAAATTAGGTCGAAATTTCACCATCATCTGATTTCATGATCATCTGTGACAATATTTATGCGATAGTTAGAAGGCTTGTTCGAAGATACAGTATAATGAATGTTGAGTTACAGTATAATGAATGATACAGTTTTCTATTGATAAAGTTAATTATATAATTTATATTATATAAATTAATGTAGTATATAGCACATTGATCTGCGAAACGAATATATATACAGATTATTTTTTGAGGTTCATTTGAACTACAAAAGTTTATAATAACTAAAAAATTTTAAGAATTAAAAATTCGAAATCTCAAAAATAAATATAAAAGAAATTCTTCAAGAAGAAAATTATAAATCAGTTTCACATTTTCAAGATGTGATAAAAACGCACAAGAAATTTCGTATTTGCAATATTATTCTGTTTTTTATATCTATTATTGAGGCTTTATCATTAATATAATTTTGCATAAAAGTTCGAGCTGATTTTATCAATTTTTTATAGGATCAGATGGTCAAATTATTCATATTTGTATACTGAGCCTTACGAGACAATTGTTCATGGAACTTTTGACAATTAACCTGAACTTTTATATGGGTTCGGGCATAAAGATTATAATAGATTAGTGCCGTATTAAATAGTTTCAATTTATTTGAATTGGATTGATTTTTTTATGAATAGAATTTATGGCAGTGAATAGTTTGAACATCTGATATTTTGTAAAATTGGCTTTTATTTTATTAAACTAATATTAACGTAAAGTTAAATTTGTATTTATTATGTAACGTTAAATTTTTAAAACTCCGCCAATATTTGATAATCTTGGTCGAACTTTTTATTAAAACTTAGTTTCATGACATTTTTGAATATCTAATCTGTGAAGTAAGGATCTTCAAAACTCTTTCTAAAATTATATAATGGTATTCACCTTCATGCAGATTTATGTATCACATATATGTAGGGAATTTACGTACGTACGTACAACTTTTGAATTTAAGAACTCTCTCTCATTAATTCTTCATAATGAGTGATAATGATATCGAATCTGAATCATCTATTAATAGAGAAAATTCTTTAATAAATTCTGATACTTGGATCGATGATTACAAAAAACGGATTCGATCACCAGCAGATCATTATGAAATAAAACCCACTGTGCCTAACTCATTAGACCCTAAAAAATGAAAAAATTATCGAGAAGACTTATTCAATTTTTTAGAATATATGAGTTTAGAACCGATTTATTCTGAACGATAAACTATTAAAAGATTTTCCAGATGAGCCCGATCAAAAGATAATCAAAGAATATAAAAAAACCATACAAGATAAAAATAGACCCATTACAAAGTATTCAAGAAAGAAAAATAGTAATACTGATACATTTTATCAAAGAAAAGGAAAGCATAGTCGTAATATAAAATTTGCTAAAAATTTATTAACAGCGACACAAAAATTAGGAAACAATGAACTTAGAAAAAATTTTTTTAATCGGGCAAAATTTACGATGTCTATATTGACTGATAAGGACATTATACCAATAATAGATGAGTTTAAGGAGTTATTTAAGGATTTTTAAAAATTTTAACTTGTTACATTGATATTGTTTATGATTGATTAGTATAAGTAGATTAAGATAATTTATAAATTTAAA